TCGCTCTTCCAACATCAAGCTTTTGGAGGAAGTTGTGATCGCTGAAACCCGAAAACTCGAAGTTACTGGTCGAAAACCTAAGAAAAGGGCGAATGTGCGATTTGTAAAAAGGGACTTTGAGGAATTTATAAGCACTCGTCAGAAAGCTCAAGTCGTGGCCATATAAATAAAAAATAAATAAAGTTGTGTTCAATGGGAGCTCGAAGACTCGCACTCTCAGAAAAAGTAAACGTTAAACTCTCCAAGAAAGTGAGGTGTGATTTTTCAAAAAAATAAACTTAGAGAAACGATTAGGTGCTAGTTATCACTCCCAAATCCCGTGCTTTCTTGCCATGCCAAAAGTCCGCAATAGAAATCAAAATTTAGATGACTACGCGTCTCTCAATTTAACGCATGAAATAGAAATCGTGAAATCTCAAACAAATATTCAATTAATCTCGAAATCTAGTGGCAAAGTCACGTACCTGGTGCATTCTGGAGTAAGTCTTAAAGCCGGTCGCCAGCTTTCAGTACACTTCGTTTGAGGTCTTCTGTCTCCACTCGGTGAATTTCTACCACCAAATTCTCCGCTGGGGTCTTACCCTAGCTTGTTTTTGATTGTTAACTGATTTTGGCCGCAGTTCGCCTTGCGAATGTTTCACAAGAATGCTGGGTTGTGAACAAAACTTTCGCCCCAGACGGGACTCGAACTGGTGCGCACTTGCCCGGAAAGCAAAGGTGCGGGTTCGAGTACCGTCTGGGACGAAAGTTCTGCTCATAACCCAGCATTCTTGTAATACATCTTAGCCTCGCCTTCTTCTGGAGGCTTATAGCTATGTCTGCCAGGAGGGGCCTGTGCTGGGGAGCCAGATCTTCGCCGGGTAGAACTTTGATATCCTTCACAGTTTTGAGGGATGATCTTCTTACCAGCACATGGTCGATTTCCGTCTGTCTCCCTCCACTGCTGTAGGTTACCTTCTGAGTCTCCCTTTTCGCGAAGAACGTGCTGCAGATTGCCAGATCGTGGGCTGTAGCCAGGTCCAGAACCCTCAGCGTTCCTCGTTCCTATCCCTCTACCTCCGTGCACCCTTTCCAGGCCTCTTCTGTCACTGCCGACGTGACCATTCAGGTCACCTGCTATGGTCAGGTAATCACCTTCCGGAACCAATCTTACGGCCTCGTTCAGGCTTACCAGTACAGGTCATTTGGTCAACCCGGCCAATTGAAAATTATGAATGAAGCAGAAAAGCGCAGCGGCAGTGGTCCTGTGATCAACTCCTTGGCTAGTTTATTCTTTTGCCGTCTACAGTAAAATAGCCAGGAAGGTCCCTGACACCGCTAGTCCAACGTGCTTGCTTTTTTGCTTGTAGTTACTGCACAAAGAACTATTAAAAGCAGTTTAGTAAATAATTTGATCGCATGTGCGTTGATACTCTGGCCCTGTAGCAACAGGCGTCACGCACTTCGTCGAATAAGGGCCGATAAGTCGGTATTCATGGACGCGACTCCGCTGGGCTCTGGCCAAGGCTGAGTTTCAGCGCGGATAGAAGTATTCGGGCGAGTCTTATTCGACTTAGTCCATCGAATTCAGTCGTTGAACGTAATTGGATAAACGTTGAAGCATTTCAAAACCGGTATGTGAACGCTAGTTTCTCATGGTGTCTATTTTAAGTTTGACCGGAAACTCGTTTTTAGAGGCAATTTGATCCCATTAGAACGAATGTCGTACCTTTTAGCCACTATCTGTAGAGTCATTCGCCCTTACGAACATTCTTTGGGTATGGTGTTAATATTTTTGTATCACTTATGTTTCGTGATAGACAAACATGTTTTATTGAGCTTCACTGTGCTGTTGAACGGTGTAGGCGGGTTAGCACAATTAGCTACTTACTTAACTCTACACCACCAAGTGATAAAAGCCTCGGGAATGTTATAGGATTTGTTGTTCATAAATGCTATCTAAGAAGCTTTCAGAAAAAAAGAAAAATTGAAATAGGGTGTTGCCGCTCTTTTTTTGAGGCTTCTTTTTAACATGATGATGAAGGTATGCTAAGACGTTCACAGGAATCGCCGCTGTTTTAGAATTTCAATCACTATAAAGTAAACGGTTTATTGCAAAAATAAAGGTGTTATGCTCTGGAATATGTAGATTGATCGTTAGATGCTAGTTTTGCGTACTCCACTAACGACAGTGCGGAATTTTTCAACGCTGTACAGAATCTGAATAAGACAAGCTAATGAAATGGAATCGGAACGGAACGAAAAGTGAATGCAGAAAGGTAAATGTGCACTTGCTAATACCTTTTCCATAAATCCCATGGGAAGATCGGTCATCTTTTTGATTTCTTCCTCAACATTCGTACCAAGAGCTTCAGCCATTTGCCACTGTGAAGGAATGCTTTTTTGCTTTGTTGAAGAGGGCTGACATCCGCAAATTTTTAAGCCTTACGGTGTCAGCCATAACAGCAACGGCCGTTCTTTTCGCCACAGGCATTGCACCATATGGCGCTGAGAAGATGGATATGAGATGTCGTGCACAAGTGTGAAGTGTTGCGTAAGAGTCGCGTTTCTTAACGACAGAAATCAGAGGAAAAACAGTAGGCTCAATTTCATTGAATGAAATACAATGAACTCTCGGGATTCAAGTTTGTTGTCTTGTGCAGCCTCCGAGATTGATACAGACCTTGGTGGTGCCTCCTACAGCTCCGTCGTCGTTTAAGGCTCCGAAGAAGGCGATTCAGCCGAAACGTCAGTCAAAATAAAAGTCTGTATCAATCTCGGAGGCTGCATAAGACAACAAACTTGAATACAATACTATGCCGAGATTAATGGAGAGTCGATCTTGGTCTATTCTGAAAATGGAACTCTAGGAACTCCTCGGGATATTTTTCCAACGGTTGGTGCTACACGTGGTGCACACAACAGGGTTCTGCGGCGATGTGGAATGATGGGGCCACAATTTTCAAATTTAGACCGATCTTTAGCAAATATTGGATTTGCTGTTCCAGGTTAGATTCATTAGCTTTCTTATCGGTCTCCGTGCTATATACTGTGTGGAGATTTTGAATTCTGGTTTCGCTACTTCGATGCATGTCCCAGCCACTAGCTTCAAACCTTCATGCATCGTCAACCACTGTGCGCTTTTTTCGAATCTCTGAACTGCTTCTAAACCGAGTTAAATTTTGGTATTGTTTATGTATAGTGTGTATAGTTATAATATTAGGCCGCGTTCATAGTTCGCGACTCCGGAGATTAGGATAGTACGCGACAATGAAAAACATATGTATTGACGGGAGAGTAGTAGATTAGGATAGTAGTAGAGTAGGAGATTGCGCTGACAAGATTAGATACGTATCGATTGAAATCGCCGGAGAGTAGTAGATTGCGATATTACGATAGTAGGATAGTAGTAGAGTAGGAGATTAGGATAGTAGTAGATTAGGATAGTGCGCTGACAAGATTAGATATGTATTGATCTATTCGCTTGAAGTTGCTCATTTCGGTGCATGCGACCCTCACTAAAGGGTTTTTACCGTGTCGCGATGTGTGTTTTGTGTAACTTTTGAACCATGGCCCATGCATCCCATGCTTGATTCGTTCTCCCTAGGTAGATCTCCAGATAGTAGTGAATTTTGTGGCAAATATAGGGACCGAAAAACAGATAAAGCGCTTTATAACAATTATTTTTTAACGAGTACCTACGGAGGTTACTCGCGAACGCTTTGGCAAAACCGCAGAATCATCCAATGTTTTCTCCTGTAGATTTGAACGCATACTCCACGATTTGTTGTAAGATCTATACCCACATGGGCGAGGTGAGCCATTGCCAGAGCGTAGAAGTCGAAGAGGCTAACTGGCTCAAGTGCCTACTACGGATCATACCTTCGTTCTCGTCTATTGTCCTCCTTCCACCTTTCAGCCAAACAAAATGGCAAATCCCTTACTTGAACTCGACTTGGGCTCTGTTGTTGAGCTTTTGTTCTTCCTCTAACTAATGCCCTTACTTTAGGCTTTCACATTTTCACACTACTATTTTTCTGTTCCTGAGAGTGTATGTTCCAATTCTTTCATTCAAACAGATAAATGAGGAAATACAGGACAACTTTTGAAAAGAAGATACTCTGGGCGCTGACTAGAACAGGCCACTCCCTCAGCTTATCAATTTTGCCCCAAATATGTTGCACTTTTTTGGATTATGTCACCGTTGATTGAAGTTGTATACCCCAACAGATGCGCACGTTCTTGAAAAACCTTCCAGTCGAACCAGCGCGATCCAAGATGCGAAATATCACTTGATTGTGGCTTACACTGCCGCTCGCGACCTTTTATGGAGTGAGTTGAAGAAAATATTTTCGAGTCTAGATGGATCGCGTTTCATTCTCGCTGAACTTTAGACATTGTCGCTCCTCCCTTGGCCTTCCCCGTGAGGCTGCCCTGTTGAACGGAGCAGAGCTGCTACATATTACCTAGCAAATATTTCCTTTGGGAGTTATTGGCTTCATGATCGCGAATATAACACTTATTTTTGAGGTGGGCGTTAAATTGGCATAAAACGGAATCGACTGGTGCAACGCCTGTGTTCAAGAACTTCACTGAAAGCTGGTTCAAGTAATTGTTCACTGTCCTGGCCACTAATATGGCAATCATCTTGGTTGCCACAGCCAAATTCGGTGGGTCTTTGGTGAGCCCCAAATTTGCGCTAATTGATGATGGCGCCCAAAACGATTGCCACATTTGCTATGAGCACACTGAATAACCCCCAAATGCAGATTTTCAATAATTCCGTGAAAACAGATTTTGTGCCATATCGATATATTTCGAGTCATTTTTGCGCCTAAAAAAAGGCAGCCCTATTGGGGGTGCGGCATTCAATGATCCCCGTAGGGAAAATTTCAAAGAAAATTTTTTAAAGAAAAGTTCTGTAGGGCCGTCGAACTTAGTGAAATTGTGAATGAGTCACTTATTTTGCAATGAAGCACAGCACCTGGTTCAGGAAGTTCAAATCGAGACGCGGAACTCACCTCCTGTTCTTTTTGTAGGCCACCAGTTTTTTGGACCAGATGCCGCAGTCGTAATGATAGATTGCATGCCTGCCCCGTGTTGTCCTTGCAAGGCCGATGCCAGATTTTGCAAATCGAGCGATTCGCTAGTATCTGCGGTTGCGTTGCGGTACCCCGAGCGTGGCTGCGGCACAACCGCTGACGCTAGCAAAGCCCTCGATTCGCAAAGCTTGACATTGACCTAACAGAGGGATTTACTCGGTCATTCTCAAAAGAATGCACACCACCAGGGAACACTAATTAGGAAATTTGAAAGGAGACCTACGACCAGGGAGTAGCTTTAAACTTCCATGGAATTTTTGGAAAGAGACCTAGATGTATCGATAGAGTCTTGAACGCTGATTACAAATATGGACACTAAAACTGCTACGTGAACTTCCTAAGAAAGTTATGAGCCTTCAAAGTTGGCAAAAAACGTTACTGAGGCGAGCTTAATGGAATCACGGTCGCCGTGGCTCTGCGCCAAAAACGAGTCTCAAATTCGTAATCAGGGCACCCACTAACCCTTATAGAACAAGAAACCAGACAAAAAGCATCCGTGATTTCATCAGGTGAGCTCGCCTCAGTAACGTTTTTTGCCAACTTTGAAGGCTCGTAACTTTCTTAGGAAGTTCACGTAGCAGTTTTAGTGTCCATATTTGTAATCAGCGTCCAAGACTATCGATATTCTAGGTCTCCTTTCAAAGTTCCATGGGAAGTGCGCTGCATTCCCTAGTAAGATATAGGAACTTACATTTGTTTTCAGGAGATCACGCACAATGGCAACTTCCCAGTATTCGAAAAACTTTGAGATTATTTCTTGAGGAAACAACCAACACAGTGTTCTTCCGACCCGAGCGAAGGCGTCATAAGCAGGAATGTCAAACTGACGGAGGTAGAAATAGGTTAGGATCTGCAAGGCAATGATGAAACACAGTAAAGATAGAGAGAAACTGATGCTTGTCATCAATTTACGGTCTTCATATCGGACGCGTGAGTGGTCGTCAAAATGCAACGATCTTCGTGAGAAACCATCAGCAGTTGCTCAGAGGGAAGCGAAGTGTGTGTGTGGAAGACAACCTGAATTGTGGCATGGATAGAAAAAAATTCCACAGAGAAATTTGCTGAAAGGAAAAGATGCATCTCGAAAAGAAAATGAGGTGGAGCGGATAGAGCACCACATTGCGCTTGAACAGGTCACCAGTCCAATGTTCTACTTTGCATTCCCTGCAGACATAAAAGTCATCACGATAATGAAAGGGGAAATTCAAGTGGATTTAGAGGAATTCTGTAGATGCAATGCCTGACTCAGAATTTTTCAAAAAATGTGCATGTATTGGGTTGTAAGGAAAGTTCTGTCCGTTCGCGCGCGTTTGCCACATAAAATCAATATTGTGTGTGTTCAATTATACCAATCGACATCTTGTGCTATTTGGGTAAGTAAGAAGTTGCTGTTTCTAGAAAAACACTTCCCCGATTCCATAAAGTTTCGAAAACAATGGGAACGTTTTCTTGCAGCATGGTTAAGACAGCTTTTCATGAGTCCACTTGTCGAAAAGTAAACGGATACGACAAAAGTGAACATGGCTTGGGGAGAAGGCACTGCATCGGAACCACGGTTCGTCGCTGGTTTCAAAAAGTTTGGAAATGGAGACGATTTGCTGGAAGACAAAGAGCGAGCTGGCCGACCATCGCTAGTTGATCCCGAAGTTCTGATGAAAGCAGCTGAAAAAGGTCATCGTCAACCGCTGAGAGAGATCGCCAAGAATGTCGGTGTTTCCCATAGAGTTGCTGCTGAGCACCTTAACAGCTTGGAGGTCAAAAAACTTGACAAATGGGTGCCGCATCAACCTCACGGAGCAGCAGCAGTTGAGACGCCTGGAGATTGCAAGTTCGCTCCTAAGAAGAAACGCTATTGGTCCCTTTCTCAATCGGAACGCAACTGGTGATGAAAAATGGATACTATATAATAATAAAACACGTTCTGCTCAGTGATATTCAAGGACCAAACAAAGCTTACACGTCACGAAGGCAATGATCACAGTTTGGTGGTCTCAACAGAGATTATTCCATTGCAAATTTCTTCCGCCGGGTCAAACCATCACAGCACAGTACTGCAATCAAGTTGATGAGATGTACGCGAAATTGGAGCGGATGCACTGGTGAATCGCCATAGTCCGCTAACTTCTGCACGACATGCGCTACCACACCGCCTTTCTCAAATCGTTTTCGCAGAAATTGAACGATCCAAGCTCTTCCTCATCCTCCATACTCACCAGGCCTGGCACCAACTGACTTCCATTTTTTCGAACATCTGGATAACTTCTCGAAGAATAGAGTATTCAAAATCGGGAACAAAAAAAACTGCCTTCCTTCAATTCTTGGATCCAGACCGCCAGACTTCTTTAATAATAGAATAAGCAAACTTGTATCATGTCTACAAAAATGTGGTGATTCGATTGAGGCTTACTTTGAATGTAACTGCTTCTTTTGAGCGGAATTATGATCTATTGAAGATGAGCTGTCTAAACGGCCAGAACTTTCCTTACAACCTAATATTGAATTGGTTCCCTACTGTGATCAGGACAAATTTGATCAGACTGATACATGCACAGTCTTCTTTCAAGTTGCCAAGCGTGTCCAGTTCATTTCGTTAATGATAACGGTATGTAAGAATCTTATCAAGAGAGCTCATTTAGTAGCTCAGAAGTGTTTTCAATAGCGTGGGTCAACACCATTTGAGTTGTTTCTACTATTTCTCCCGCCGCCGTCGTTCATTTCTAATGGCTCCACATCATAGTGTCAACAGCCACTTTCCGTTGTCGTTCTTGCTTCTAACAATAAAGGAGTTCAAACTCGCTCGGAAGATGGTGATGGTGAATCGGGTAGGTTTCAAGGGATCTTGTAGGCATCATTGCTGAGGTCTTGAAAATTGTACATCACCACCCAACCATGAATTCGCTACCACATAATGACTGATTTCGGATCCAGATCCTACGGTCCTAGTTTGTTGCTCACTTTGGGAGAATAGGTATCGCTTTCGCGCGAAAAATGAACCATCGGGAGTACAGGTCTATGCCTCGAAAGTCGTACTCACTAGAATTCTTTTTTATTCATCGCCCTTTTTCGCCCATCTAGAGAGCACCTTGAAAGAGAATTGCAGAACTCTAGTATTCCAAGACGGGTTGACTCAACCCCAGTGTATTGGCAAGGGAGACTACATGTAGTGGTTTTTAGTACGAACGAAAACGTTGCGTTTGCACGACTGTTACTTCGAAAGCCTTTACAATCTAGTCAACGCACATTTGGATTCCAGAGTAAGAAAGGCAACAACCTCAAAAACCCTTACAACCTAATACTATTAAATATGTGATAATTTAAAGTGATATAATGATGACCTCTCACTATTTGTTGAATGCTTTGTTTGTCTTTACTGCTTCTGAATTCTATCCCACTATTTTAAGGAGTGTGTGAAAAATACGCACTTTCAAAGTAGGGCTTGCGTCCTCTAGAACTTTGCGATGAACGAAATATTCTCTTGGAGATCCCTCTGCCACGGTTATTACCCAGTCGTATCCTGGAGGCTTTTCGCCGTTCAGAATTTTCCCAAGCACCTTTTGTGCAGCGGGTGTGGTTAGCGGCTGTTCCCTGTAATGGAAAAATCACTGGTGTAGTTATGATGAAAAATCAAATAAATGGACTCACAATTCGAGGTTTATGAGTCCCGCAATATCGAAGTAGGATGAGGGGATAGTTAGCCTAACCCTCATCGCTAATGTTGGCAGGTGCTCTATTGTTGTCTTCAGGAGGTTGAGAGGAAGCAGGGATTCAGCGACATATGCGTCCTCTCTTCGTTCCAAGGGAACTGGAAACAAGAAATTAAGTATGCTAAAATGTCGATTGAATAATGCATCTACAACAACTTCAGCTAGACTCATGGCCTAGGCAGCCAAGATCTACAAGCGTGCTCAAATTAAAGGAGGAATTCACGATTAGAATGAAGGTCGAAGAAAGGGAAACTGACCTAGTTGAGGGACCCACGGACCTCCTGAGGGTGCGAACTGACGCGCAATTCGCATGGAAAAATTTGACCTCGGCGACCTATCATGCCTCAAAGCTGGCGGGTCCGGCGATCTCCGCCCACCGATCATCTGATCACTCGCCGTAGTTCAATACGTGGCGAGTGATTAGATAGCTGAGAGAGCGTAGTGTTGAAGAGGGCACAGCGATGAGAGTCGCATCAATGCTCGAATCAACGGGCAAGGAAGGGGTACCA